TAACAGAAAACGAGCCTCACAGAGAAAGAAGTTTCACAGTGAAAACAACTACAAATTTCCCAGGAGCCAAAACATGAATTATCGCTAGAGCATCTTAAGAACCTAAAAAAAAAATAAATTTGTTTTTCCAAGCTCATAACAGAGAAACATCAAAGCTAAAGAAATACCCCAGTTTTGCAAAAGTATTTAAAAAATGCATGGGTATTAATTCCCTTCCCCACCCACACCTCAAGGCCCCAGCTCTCCTCTCCCACCCCACCAAAGGCGGGTTCTTGACCCATGATTTAAACAATTCTACCACAGCTGTAACACACATATATTTAAAACTTATTCACCTAGAACATAAACACTGTAGGATTCTAGAACCAGAAAACAAACATTTAAACTCCTCTAAAAACTCAGTGTTTCTAGAAAACCTCTGTCTATACGCTCTAGAGACTACCTGTAATTCCTGTAGATGCATCGTATCTCTGGCTCTGACACAGGACTTGAAAATGACCCTCTGCACAGATGCTCCGCTCCATCACCCAATCCAGCCAGCAGCCTGGGGGCCAGCGCAGAATGCCCGCTGCCCAGTCTCAGATCTGAAGCAGCCGGAAACGCGGAGCTGGCCAGGCAGCCAGGCACGAGGGCGAAGGGTTGGGAATGCTGTTCACCCAAGTGTGTTCATCCATCCCGGAGAAAGAGAGAGCGTGCATGTGTGTGTAAGGGAATGACAGTGCTTGGTTTGCCTAGAAAGTCCTGTCTAGACTGAAGAGACCCACAAATATGCCTGCCCTCCCACCCCCAAACATACGTACATTGTGGTCGTCATCACTGCCCTTAATCAGCTTACCCCAGAATTTTGAAAACAAGGAATAACAAATTTAAAAAGTCCTTTTAGAGGAACTTGAAGCAAAAAATACCTCAACACACACTAGTTTTAAAACACCTGAGAACTGATTACAAAAAGGATGACCTTTCCTATTACTTAATGCAGTGATGAAAAGCATCTTAATCTAAATATTACAAACAAAAAACATCTAACATCTTAAATAACAAACCTAAATTAGTAGAACCTATCAAAAGTCTGTTATCATTTTTGATATGCATTTTTTTTCCTCAGACAACTAGCACCAGGTTTGGTAGAACAAAAGGGTTTACACTGAAATAGACTATTATGGAAGATTCCTTGGAAGTAAGTATTAATATAGACGTGGAATGTTTAAATAAACGCCCTCCCACCAAATACTTCACCACCGAGTATTCCAATTCTCCCATCCATCCTTTACTGTCTCACAACAGTAACAAAAACTTTTATTTGCACCCAACTTAAATTCCTTCAAAAGCCCTATATTTTGCTCTGCACTTTGACAGGTTTATAACAGCAAGTACAAATCAATTATTTACACACACACACACACACGCACATGTATATATACATATACGAATGATCTTTAAAGTTCATTTCTAATATGAATATAACTTCTCTGAAAGCCGTCAAGGATCTCTGAATGAGCCATTAATACTGTGCCTTCCTGTATGCAAAAGAAGTAACAAGACACATCAACAGTTCTTGTTCAATGTCCTGGGCTCTCCTGCTGCCCCGCTCATGGTCCCTTCACCTGGCTCATGGCGGGCAGGGTTACTACCACTTAGAGCTCTGCACAACTGGGAAATGCCACCTAGCTCCCCCGGGAGCCTTGCTGCGTACCTCAGTGACCACATGCAGCTTGGCATTCAAATATTAAGATGTTAAGAATGTTAGGATATTAAGGATCTGCAAACCTACTGCATGCATGAGGCAAAGAAGAAAAGCTGAGGAATGAAGAGCCACGGGCTCACCTGCCAGGCTGGAAAACAGGCAATGTTGGGTATAATACCGACTTAGAAAGGCAATTCAGGAAAAAAAATCAAGGAAGTAGAGGGGAAAAAAAGGTTTCAAAGTGACTAAGTATCTTGCGTCAAGAATACAAAAAATGAAATAAAAGGGGCCAGAGAGCCCACAATTGCCGGGCAGGGGCTCTTCTGGATTCCTCAGTCACCCCCGAGGTCAGGGGAGCCCCCGAGGCCTGCCCGCTGCAGAGCTGGCGATCTGCTGAGGCACCACGGCGGCGTGGTGAGAAGTGAAAAGTGAAAATTCGTCTTTTAATGTGCTTTGATTTAGACAATGTATAGACTTCAAAATGTTTTAACCAATAAATGATAAAAACTTAAAACTATGGGAAATATGCTTTTAACTTTCTCAAAAAGTCCAAGAAATTGATTAAAAGTATCTTTAAAAATATGCTGTTTTATTTTCGTAGTCATCTTTCTTAAGGTGGGTCTCACCGCTCCAATCAGACTATCACCTGCCGCAGGGGGGCCCACAATGAATCTGTGACCGCAGCCCTTCACACAGCAACTCCCACCAGGTAACTGGTCACACATACTTGCTAATTAATGCTCTAAATTGTCTTCTCGTGTAGTAACACATAAAAATAATGTCACAAATAGAATAATGGGAATCTACCAGTGAAACCACTACAACCAAAGCCCGCTAAGACAGCAGATACAATTTTTAAAAACCCTTTAATTTTGAAGAACTTCAATAATCTATACATAACCTAAGGTTCAACAAGAACTGAAGATTCTTACAGCACTAAAAATTAAATATCTTAAGTATCTTATTCTGAACAAATGTGAGACGTATACTGACGAGTGGTGCTTCTAAGACCTGTAATACTTAAATTTTAAAATCAGCTCATCTACTGGCTTAGTCGATTTCTGTCATGATTTGGGGAGGAAAAAAAAAACCAGCCAAGGCCCCATCACTGCAGATTCAGCTCGCCCGGCCCTGCGTGTCCCCACGGGTCTCCTGTGAGCCAGGGCTTCCGGGGAGGGCTAACCGATGTGCGATGGTCTGAGACACTGCCGAACGCTCAACACAAAAAAAAAATGTCTTGAAGGAAATTAAGTTTAGCCTTTAATTTATCAATTGACACTTACCCAAAAAGTAGTTTGATACTCTATTTACCTCAGATAAAAATCATAACGTTAAGAAAATGTATATGACCATCCATTCAAAAGGAAAATATTTTCAACTTTATTGCCAACAAAACAAGGAATTCTCAAAAGTAAAACTGACAGCACATTTTTAAAATCCAACAGTATGATTTTCACCTGGATAAAAATCGGAAAGTCAAATTACTTTTTGTTTTCCGCCCCATGACTTGATCATATTCTGATTACAGCTGGAGGACAGCGACACCGGCACCGGCACAGAAGACGGAGCCCTGGGCCGACAGGGACCCCGTGCCGCTAGGAGCCGCAGAGCCGGCGGCCTGCCGCAGAGGCCGCCCCCCGCCCTCACGCGTGTTACCTTGGCGCCAGGCTTCCGCCCGCTTGTCTTCTTCTTACCTTGTCCTTTATACCTCGGTATCTGAGCATGAGAATGAAATGACATTTTACCAAAACGTATAAATCTTTACAAAGAAACTAATCCATAACCAAACTAATAAAGTTTCCTATTAGAAAAGCTCTCAAGGGGGCGCCTGGGTGGCTCAGGCAGTGAAGCCTCTGCCTTCAGCTCAGGTCCTGATCTCAGGGTCCTGGGATCGAGTCCCGCATCGGGCTCCCTGCTCAGCGGGGAGCCTGCTTCTCCCTCTACCTGCCGCTCCCCCTTATTCTCTCTCTCTCTCTCTGTCAAATAAATAAATAAAACCTTTAAAAGGAAAAAAAAAGAAAAGCTCTTAAGAATGGAAAACCTAATCTATGTTCCTTTCTAAAACCCACATTTTTTTTCTCGTTCCTTAATTCTCTTCTCCTGCAGTGGTTCACCCTGCGCGTAAATACCGTGCCTCGCAGTGCCTGGGGCCCACTGCCTGGGGCCCACGCCGCCCACCGCCCCGCGGCAGCCTTGTGCAGAACCACACCTCGGTGGGCGCTCCGCGGCAAAGCCAGGCCCGGCCTCCAGAGCAGCCTCCCCGAAGAGCGGCCCCGGCCTCGCCTTGCTCGGGAGCACACAAAGCGGGTCCCTGCGGGTCGGGCAGGACCCTCGGCTTGGCCACAACGTCCCACAGCCCCAGAGCCCCAAGTGCTCTCCGTGGCATGCAGCCTGATGAGGTACCCCGAGAGCCCAAGATGATTCAAAGACCACTGGGTGAGACAAGAGAGCTGGCAAGAAAAAGGTGGGGAAAGTGCTGAAATCCCAAATCCACATCCTCAGAACTACAGGAAACTGCAGCTCACCTGCCATCAGGAGGCCTCCTCTTGACACGAGTCAGCCACGGCCCTGCGGACACGGCCACTGCCCCACAGGCCTCCCCGCCGCACGGGGAGCCGACAGGAGGCAGCAAGCGCGAGGGGACAGCTGGAGGACAGCTTACTGCTCTCCAAACCCACCTTGGTAACTACTGGCACTTCTCTATATTTAAGGCAACATTTCCTAACTGACTTAAAAGATTCTCATCATAATTCTTAGATCTTGAAAATAAAATTTGTGCAGAGAAAATACGTCAAAGACTTTAATCTGTTATCATGAAGACACACCACATGTAGAAGGTTCGTGTTGCTAATCTGCTTTACAAAATAATAACTGGCTAAAAAGAGAACTTCCAAACAGCTCAATTCTATAGGTACTGATATTGTGGAATATGCATTAATTTTAACCCCTTCACAGCCAGACATGTTCACAGAAAGCAAAGCTTTTTTACCAAGGCTCCTACATCTGACAATTCATTTAAAGGGATTTTTACATTGACTCACAACCTTGATCTCTCTGTAACCATGGTGACAGCCTCCCATGAGCATCAAGGGAAACCCCTCCCCACAGTGAAGGCTAACTAGAGCTCAGAGAGAAGGGACACCTACACACAGCACGAGGGTCTCTTCCCTCCGCTGCAAATAAAACATAAAATCCTTTGATTTCCAAATGGAGAAAAATGAAAAGGAGCAACACCATAAAGACGCAGCAGCAAAACAACAGGAACCACTCATTGGTGTCTGAGCCCAGGCATCTGAGAGAGAAACCCTCTAGAAGCCACCTAATTGAAGAGGTACCACTGTGCCCACAAGTCAGTGCAACACCATCATGCTCCAGGGCATCACCCTCATCCTGCAAAATGGCAGTCACAGCGACCGTCATGGCACAACCTGACCCAAACCCGTCCTTGGGTACAACCGGTTGGTTCTACCAACACACAGGACGCTGCAACCAGTCCCAAGACAACACACCCCCTAAGAATCGTGTTCTGCCCGTTCCTGTGATCCTGGACTTGAAATTCCAGCGCTCCACTCAGCATTTTTCTCCAGTATGCCAGATCCCGGCAATCAATGTGCCTTAACTTTAACAACCCATAAACCACACACACACACACACACACACACACACACACACACACACACACACACACCCCCAGGGCACATGTATTTTCTTAAAAATCCTCAAAATAGCTCATTAATATAAAAAAAACACTATAATTTACAATTCTAAACTGGTCATCCATCTACAATATTCAACACCACAGTGTTCTGGAACAACAGTCTGGAACCTAGTACCCTCAAGCTAGGGATTTATAAATGAAAAGTAAATCCTCTTATCAACTGAGGAAGAAAATTTTCAAAGTACCAAATGAGTCCAAATTTCTCATAATTCTGTGATTCAGTAGTGCACTCCTTTCTACGACCCAAAATTCAAAACACTACCAACAAACTGAAATAACTGTTATAAATATATGCTTCATTAAGGGAGAAAAGCAATTTCAAGAAACTACACAGCACTTTCATTACAAAACAAAACCTGGAACACAGAGGGCAAGGGTGAGGAAAGCAGAGCCCCGTGGAGTCTGAGTGCAGAAGTCCTCGTACCCGTGGCCTACTCACCTTACTGGGACTGCTGTGAGCACTTGCTTTGCCTTCTGGTGACTTTGGTGGAGAATGTACATCAGATAGATCTAGTGCACCCTAAAATATTTCACAGTTTAAGATTAAAACATAGTTTAAAATAAAACATAAATATACTATTAAGCCTCAACAGCATTTTAGCATTTAAAACCACTACACAATACTGATGTTTTTAACTCTTTCTAAATTATGTAAATATTCTTATTAGATTTTCCCCAATTTTACTCAAACAAAAACAAAACAAAACACACTTAGATCCTAATTACCTAAGTATTTGACCCAGTCACCTTGAACAGGCCGCTCAGCCGCGGCCCTCGCTCGGCACCGGGCGGTCTGCCCCAGCCCTGCCCTGGGATTTGCACACATCTACTCTTCCACCCTCTCCGGGCTCGCTGCCTCCTTCACTCTGTCTCCAGGACGTCAAACAGCGGCTCTCCAAAGACACGTCCCCCTCTTCAAAGGACCACACTCCCCTTCCTCCTCTGCACGCTCATGCCACTCTCTCATCTCTTAGAGCACAGGGGCTTGTCTGGCCACGTCACCGAACTGCACGGCCACCGCACCGTGCCGCACGGGACCGAACCGCACCGCATGGCCACCGCAGGGCACTGCAGCATCACGAAACCACCATGTTCAGGGCACCCGCTGGTCACTTCTCAGAGCTATGCTAAACGCATAGTGAGTGGAATAGAATGGAAATGACCTAAAATTCATCCACTACATCATTAGCAGCTCTGTGCACTATGTGCATATTAAATGTTGATTATTTTGCTATTAAAAATCCTACCGATGACTACAGCTCTTTAAATATGACAATGTGCTGCTCGTCATACCTTCTGCTCCTCCCTCGAGCAGCGTGACTTCTGGTATGGCATCATCTTCTCCCAGGCTGAAAACCTCTTTCACCTTTGCCAATTGTTCTTCTTCCCATATACCCTCTGAGACCTTAACCCTCTGCCGTAATGTTAATTTACCAAGTCCTATTGCTTCTTCCTTTAAAGGGGAACCTTTACCTGCCCATTTGCTTCTGCATTTACTGCCACAATCATTCCTGTGTCTAAATGTGCCTTCTAGTGGATTTCACTTCTCCCAGTCTTTGAACTTCTCCCAAGTTCACCATCTAACCTTCACAAATTCATCTTCCAAACAAGTACTTCCTCCGTACAAAAGTCTGCAAAAGCTTCCCACTGACCTTGAACACATTACCTGTGAAGAATCCCCACTGGGGGGCACTTGGGTGGCTCAGTGGCTGAGCGTCTAACTCTTGGTTTCGGCTCAGGTCATGGGATCTAGCCCCTTCTCGGGGCTCTGCACTCAGCCGAGAGTCTGCTTCAGATTCTTTCTCCCTCTGCCCCTCCCCACCATGTGCGCTTTCTCTAAAATAAATAAATCTTAAAAAAAAAAAAAAAAAAAAAGAAGAAGAAGAAGAAGAACCCCTGTTGGGTTGGACCCTGCAAAGGATACAAAGGTGAGCCCAAGCCCCTTGTCCCCAGCCAAGGGAAGACGTGGGGATGGATGGGCAACCACAGGGGGCTGCCACACCCACGCAGCGCCAGGCACTCAGTTACAACAGCTGCCAGCAGAAAGAGGGGAAAAACAAGAAGAAACATCCCAGAAGGCAGAGTGGGAGAGAGAGACCGTGAATGACAACCTTCCACAGCCGGGTACGGGGATGATGCACTGTTTCAGGTGGAGAGCAGATGAGGGAAAGGCAAGAAAGCAAAAGCCACTTCCAAGTATAAGAAGCCTGGCTGAAGCACAAGGTTCCGCATTTCAAAAAAAGGCCTAAGGCTAGAAAGATGAGTAGGCAGCGCATCACACAGGATCTTAACGTCAAGGCTGAGGAATCTGTAAACTATCTAGTTGCCATTACACAGTGATTTCAATTTTTAAAGTGGAAAGGAACAGATAAAGGGCTGAACCTTAAAATGAAGTCAACAAGCACGAGGGATGCAGACCGATTGTGGACAGTGCCCGCAGGCGTGTGCTGGGGAGCAGGACCGGAGCGAACCGCAAGGTGCTCGCGGGGAGGTAGGGGCTCACCCGGGGCAGCGCAGCCAACAACCAAGCGCTGTGACTCTCCACGCTAGGGGACACCCCACACCCTGCAAAATCAACTCAAAGTCATGGTCAAGGACGTGGGGCATAGCAACCTGATTCTTAAGGTGGTTTGAAAACGCACTGTTGGTAAAAGCATCACTGAGTCCAGTGGGCTGAATCCACAGCTGGTTTTCTTCCCCAGCATCAGAAGTCAAAGGTTAATAAAACCTAAGGACAGGTTTCTTCTCAAAGTTATAAACACTAGTGAAGATGGAAAAGCCAAATTGGACACCTGTGAGTTCCCTATTTTAAGTATGAATTTGACCACTGATTTATGTGTGTATACATATACACACAACCAATGAAAATGACATGTCCCAATATGAAGAGGGGAAAAGTAGCCAAGAGTGGGTATTTCATAATGGTTTCAAACTTTAAAGAAGTAAAACAATGACCTCTTGAAGCTACAAAAATCTTCTCCTGTGTTCGTCTGACAGAAACCCAGCTCTAAAACAGGGTAAGCTGACTGGGGAGGCTTCGGATCCACCAGTCTGAAAGACATATAAAGAACATATTTATTGAGTTTTCATTTTCAAATCCACCCAACTAGACAAGAAACCTCTGACTGGGTCTCAGTTTGAGGTAGACGCCCTGTTTAGCAGCAAACAGAGTTTTCCAGTAATTAAGCTTTCTTCCTTCCACGCGTGCTGCTGGGACAGGCGGGAGAGAGACTCCTTCCTGCCAGAAGGAGCGAACCGAGGGCACAGAAAGGCAGCTCCTTGCATTAAAACCGAGGAGTCCCAGGAGCACAATCAACACAAACAGAGAAATCTGGAGCAAGAACTGGAACTGGGTGGTTATCTGCGAGGACACATATTTTTCACCTTTTGCGACTTCCGCTTTGTTAGAGTGAAGTCTGTTTTTTCACACAGGATTCAAATGTGTTCGCGAGTTAAACAAGGGGTATGTGTGGGGAAGAGCTGGAGATTCTGGTTTCACGCTGGGGAAAGGACTGAGCTGGACAGAGGGAGTCATCAAACCGTAACAAGAACAAAACGACACACGATGATGATGAAGGCAAACGCTCGCAGATCCCTACTTGCGAAGCACTGTTGCCGAAGCTACCCTGACTCCCCTCAGTTCTCACCACCACCAGCAAGGCTGTTACTTCCATCACCCCCATTTCATGAGTGAGGAACCTAAAGCACGTGGAGGTTAAGTGTCTTCAGAGAGTCACACACAGGACATGGCGGAGCTGGGACATGACCCCAAGCATCCTAGCTCAGAGCCCACGCTCACGCTTGTGAGCCAAGGGAGAGCACACCAGAGAACAGGGGCCACCAGCACCTCAGACAGCTGAACCCAAGAGCTGCTGCAGCGCCCCCGCCATGGCCCACTTTCCGCTGCAGCGCCCCCTTCTCACCCCAGGGCCCCACCCCTGTTGCAGCATACCCCACCCCTGCTTCCCACTCCAGCACCCTACCCCAGCGCCCCGCCCCAGCTCCCAGCCGCGGCACCCCGCTCCTGGCCCCAGCTCCCCATAGCCGCCTTAGAACAGCTTCCCAGTCCTCTCCTCTACTCTCACATTAAGAGCGAGTTTAACAAAATTTCCACTTGAAAAACCCTTTAACTAAAACTGATTTGACTCCTAAAATGTGTGGTACTAACCATTTACTATACACTGCGTTATCATAAGCCATCACTCACACGTCCATTTCCTTATGGGAACACATTTTATCTTTAATAACTCTCAATTCTTCTAGTTCATGAAACTGTCTGTTTTATCTTTTCATTCAAAGCACCCATTTGTTATGCCCTATATGCAACAGGTGCTCACGCAGGCTCTCCTGATTTCAAAGATTCTAATAGAAAACGTGCTCTGAGACTCCCCTCCACATTCTTACTTATAAACCAGTGACTAAAAGCACACATTTAACCGGGTGTCTGAGACAGCTACCACACGGTCCATGTCTGTGAAACGGTATCTCTATGTAAAACTAACATCTGTAACTAGTAACTAGGAATCAAACTTAATCTCATTAGCAGATCTCTAAAAAGGAGTAAGAAAAGCAGTAGCTAATCAAGAAAACAGAAGTTTGAAAATGTTTAGAAACTAAGCACAATCAACAGCTTAAACAGCTTTTAAAAAGCCTTAAGTTCAAAAAATTATTAAGTAGCCTCTAATTCAACCCTGTTCTGTTTAAAATGGTAACAAGACTACGACTAACGAATGTTCTCCGCACTTGACAAGCACCAACCCGTGCCTCAGGCCTCACAATGGCCGCGAGGCGGCCCGCTCTCCCCATGCTGCACAGGGGGAGCCGGGGAGGGCCCTCCACGTCCGAAGCCGGCCAATCAGTGGAGGAGCGGCGGCCAGTTCCACACAGCCGGACCCCTGACCCTGATGCCCAGGCGCCCATCTGCAGAACAAGCGCGGCACCAGACTCAGCTGCCACGTGTCCAATTTTCATCAAAATGTGCGTTTATATGATCTGACTGTGTTTTGTTTTGTTTTTAAGGAATAGCTTCTTTCCATTTAAACTCTGATTCACTATGTATGCAAAACTCTGCGTGGCTACACTGAGTAGCCAATAGTTAAAATGGAAAAAGGTAACAGAGGCTAGAGTTATACTTACCTCCCCATTGGTTGGCCCTTTTTCTTTCTGTTGACAACGTCTGATCACTTCTAATAATAAAGGTCCACCCACAGTACCTTCTGCTTCAATAATACCTAGATCTCGGGCTAAATTCTCTCGACCTTCAAGACCTTGAAACTAGAGAAGAGGTAAGATATAACAAGTCAGGTATAAATGCACAGAAGTATGCAGATTATTTGCAGAGATTAAAGAAAAATATTTTGGGGACTTAAAGATATCTCTAAACACAGAGAGATCATTTTTCTAATGAATAAAATGGCCGTTTAAAAAAATTATATACTTCTTTTAACCATGTCTCTACATCCAAAAATGGATGTATCTGACATCAGAACAAATTAATTCTACAAAACACTCCTTTCAAAGTTCTACGAAGCAGCATGGGTACCAGCTATCTACAGCTCAGATGGCTTTTAAGAAAAAGATAATCAACTACAAAAAATAATCTATATGCAAGACCCTATAAAGCATCAAAGGTTGTTAAGTTTCAGGTTATAATGAACTCATTTGTACCAAGGATGGTTTCAAAGGATAGATGTAAAAAATTCATGACTCTTACTGTGCTGGTTTCAGGCTGAAAAACGGCCAAAGTGAAGTCAAGATTGAAAAACTGGAGAAACTCTGCAACAAGACTAGCCACCAGCCGGCCTGTGAAACGTGAGAGAGGCGGTGAGCACACCTGCGGGAGCCCTGAAGCCCCTGCACTAACACCACGGAGTAAGGTTAATTAACTGAAGAAAAGAGGTTTCTAAATTTAAATTATAAATTTATCTTTGAAGAACACCAGTAATGAAAATCTCAGTCTCGTGTTTTCATTAGGATCATCGGTTTGAAACTATCTATTAATAAAACAACATGACATTTCACAAATGGATTAGAATATTCTGCTTCTTATGTAAAATTGGTTTTAACCAACAATTTCCCGTGACCAAGAATATTCAAAACAGCTTAACAGTTGTACACTAAAATACGATTTTTAAAATGAGAACCTGTAAGAATCACAGACTTCAAAAAATATCTGAAACTCCTTGAGGCGCCTGGGTGGCTCAGTTGGTTAAGTGTCTGCCTTTGGCTCCAGATCATGATCTCAGGGTCCCGGAATCGAGCCCTGGGTCAGGCTCCCTGCTCAGGGAGGGGAGTCTGCTTCTCCCTCTCCCTTGTCCCCCCCAACCCCTCCTCATGTGCTCGCTCTCTCAAATATCTTAAAAAAAAAATCTGAAACTCCTCATCTCTCCTAAATAGAGTCAACATTTGAAAATTCAGACAGACAAAATAAACAAGAACAAACTGAACATCTTACCATCTTTCGTATTTAAAAACTTTCTCAGGCTCTCATTGACTAGAGGAGTTTTGTTCTGTTAAAAAATGAAATATTATGTCATGCATTTATCTTAAAAACAACTACAAAATGTGGTTTAAAGTTTTTTTGGCAGAGCTGGAAGTAAAATATGGTCACTCATAAAATTATGGTTAAACCCACTCCACAACTATTGATTACTACAGGAATTCTTTCATGCCATTTAATATCTCAAAGCTAATAAAATGAAACCACACATGAAAACTTGTATTTATTTTTAATTTTTAAATATGCCACAAATTGTTTATTAAACTACTTTAGAAGCTAAATCTTCAGATACTCATGTGAAATGGCAATACATTTACTTACAAAAACAACTGTTTATTATTCTAAATACATGTTGACATTTTGTCATCATAGATGTCTACCATTTATAGCATGCTTCTGTGAGCAAGGACTCAAATTACACACTTGTTATTTGCAGCTCATCAGCAGTATGTGACATGATTTTGTGTAGTGCATAGGCCAACTTATTTTTGCCATTAGATGTCTATTTGAATAAATACAGAAAAAACACTTCTAGCTCACTCAAGCTTCTTTAAGCAGACTGAATGAATTATAGGTGTAACGACAGTCTCATATTCTGCTGATGGGATAATAAATGGTGCAATCACTTTGGAAGGTAGTTTGTAAAGTTTTAAAAAGTCAGTACCCCTACCATATGACCCATCTGTAGGCATTTTCTCAAAATAAAAGCAGAGATCCAAGCAAAGACATGTACTTGAATGTTCACAGAAGCCCTATTTATACTAGAAAACTGGAAACAAGACAAATGCTCATCAACAGATGAATGACTAAACAAACTGTCACATATCCATACAAAAGACACTACACAGGGAAAGGCAGAATGAACTATTAATACAAAGGACAATATGAACAAATCTCAAATGCATTATGCCAAATGAATGCAGCCCGATCAAAGAAGAAAAGAGCGTCTGTGCGGCAGGATCCCACATGTATGGCTCTTAAATACGTGGGTGGCCCTGGGGTGTGTGGTGGGGGAGGGTGGTACAAAGGGGCTTGAAGAAGCTTTCAAGGGTCAAGGATATGTGCACTATCGACTGTTTCAAGGTTGCATAAATGTGCTGAAATGTAACACACCGTACATTTAAGTATAATCGAGTTTACTGCAGGTCAATTGCACCTCAATAAAGTTGTTTTTAAAAAACCCAAAAAAGACAAGGAAGAGAAAGATCACAAAGTTCCTGTAGGTTGGTCTAGGAGATTTTAAGACACTGAGTCAACTGAAATATTTAAAGAAAATGGAGGAACAAGAGCAGATGTGTACTATAAACAGCCAAACCAGGAGCACTGCAGAAAAAGGACTTCGGGAAGATGGTGAGGGACACAAGCAAAGGGGAGACTGGAGAGAAGAAAGGGGTAAAGCACCTGCAAAAGACACAGCTCAGCACAGAGTAAGAGGGCAGCAGAGAACCTCCTTAGACATCTCAGCTACAGAGCTGCCAGACAGAACCAGGCAACCGACTGGATGCGGAGAGGAGGAGCAAGGTCCAGGCAACCGTCCGATTTCTTGCTTGGATAAAAAGCAGTCCCCATAAGCAAGATCAGTCCAGCAGGCAGGGTCACATATGGGTCTGAGGCTCACGCTACGGACCAAGGATACAGGGCTCAAGTTACTGGTATAATTAAGGTCATCCAGGGAGAGAGCACAGAATGAGAGCTACCGGAAAATACACCAAGGATTTAAGTCAGGTGTAGAGGAAAAAGAGCACGCTAAAGAAACCAAGGAGTGCTCAAAAGGAAAAAAGAGAACAAAGTCCCAAAAATCAAGGGAGATTTTCAGAAAGGAAGGAAGGGAGGAATTAAGAACGTCAAATGCCACAAAGAACAACTAAGTTAAGAACTAATACAGGTAAGAACTAAAATACACTCAATAAGGAGATTCTTCCTGACCCCAGCAAAGGGAAGTCCTTAGATGTAGTAGATTTAAGGCGAATTTAAGTGGATTTAAGATGTTAACGTATTAAAGGGTGCCTGGAACATATGAAATAAGACATACACATTCTTTCAAAATTCAACTGTGAGGGGAAAAAACTGAGTGGTATTAAAAGAACATGAGTTAAGGAAAATAGTTTTCTCCTTGAGAGAGATACAAACACGTTTCTATGCTCAAGAGAAGAACCAACAGCAAGGGAGAGGCCAAAGACACAGCAAATGGTTGAGGAGCTGAGAGCACCTGGAAGGCAAAACCCAGAGAAAGTGACTATTCTTGGACAAGACAGAGAATCCTCCACCAAAGCAGGAAGGAAGAGGTACAGATACATACAGATGCAGGGCAGCTTTTTCTGAGCTGAGTGACAGATCTGCAGGGGAAGACCCCGCAGGTCAGGACCTGATGCCCCTGCAGGCCAGCTGCCGCCAGTCAGCAGACAGGAGAGGCAGAAGGCTAGAGCCCAGCGAAGTGAGAGTTGTGCGTGAAGAGGACTCACGGCCTGCTCAGACCCTCGCTGAGGCGTGTGACCCGCCAGCTAGTCAGGGCAGCAATCCAGTGCTGGGTGACTGCTCTGGCGCGGACACGGCAAGAGCAGGCAGGGGAGTTAGTCTGCTCAATTAAACGACGTTTGCAGTTTTTCCCAGAGCAAGTATGGCTGGAAGGCAAGGAAGCTGGGGTTTCTTAAACACGGGCCATAGGGTCCAGACAAGAGAAGAACAGAGGGCAGCCGAGAGAAGACTGACACCTGGACAAACACAGAAGAGCCAAGAATGGAAGCACTTCATGAAGTTAAAGAGGTGCAGACCCCTAAGTCAAAAGAAGTGCGGAGGAGATTAGACGGATTTGTCGCAGGAGCAAGGTGAAGACCCTGATTATGAAGTAATTCTTGCCGACAAGCTCCAGGATATTTATTCAGAGTGGTGGGAAGACTTGAGGTAGAGAAAAAAAAGTAAATGCACTTCTATCGAGAAGTGGCTGGACGTCTGACAGTGACAAAGAGCACATGGTTTTAAAGTAACGGGGCGGTCAGGTAGTTGAGAAAAGTGACGCACTATGTTCTCGCCACCTGTGGGCATTCACAACACAGACTGACATATGGAAGGTTCTGCAGGAGCCGCAGCAAACTCACCGACAATGGCACCCTCTCCTCACCGAGCCCCTCTGACCTTGTTTTCCAGATTTCCCTCATGGAAAGGCATCTGCGCCACCAAAGATTTGTTACTGGCCCCAGGGTCACTACCGTACCTTGCCTTTCTTTAGACTACTCCAAAATTCTAAATATAGACAAAAAGAGAGTAAGGTTGCCTCTCTTCCAATAGTAAAAAAAAAAAAAAAAATGTGATCCTTAGTAGTTCAAACTCATCCTTGCCTACACCCTAACGTACGTAGTATTTTAGAATAACGTCTAAGTGATCAGAAATTAAAGTAAACGAATACGGTAATGTTAAAATTTGTCGATTTCATACCTCTACTTTTTCTTGCTCTTCTAGTGCTAAAAACACAGCTGCTCGGAGTTCAGCCTTTTTTTAAGAAAAGGGGTAAAGGAACAAAAACTGTTTCAAGGCCATTTTCGCGACAAGAAGCGCATACGGCGTAAGTTCCACCGGCACCATCCCCACCACCTAAACGCCCCAAGCGAAAACTAACGAGACGGCAACGCCTAGTGGGCAGGTGCGGGGAGGCCAGGACGCACCGTGAGGCGCGCTCCCGCGCAGCGCCCCCCGCCCCCCGCCCCCCGCCCGGTCCCAGCGCCCCCCCGG